CTTTTTCGATACATATTCGATCCATAATAGCGGTGTGGAATATGGCAGGGTCCCCGCGTATCGTAGACTATCGATTATGTATCGAAAAAGAGACCCGGCGCCGCACAGGAATCTCGGAATTCGGGACCTGGAAAATGCGTAAAAGTGGCGCTAGCTCTCCCACTTGCATTACGACTCTATGTACTCCATTCTCTAAACGCATATTTTCTGTTGTTGCTGTATGGTTTAGAGCCAGTGTCCATTTTTATGTAGAGGGAATGAGGATGATTAAGTAGTCGTGCCTTGAAAGGAAAAGGTAAGCAAATGATTTTCCGGAAAAGAGAAGTCACCGTCTTTTCAAACTATCCATTTCGATGTGAAACCTTGGCGATGGAACATAAAAACAATTTTACGACAAGGGAGTCGTTGGAATGAATATCGCATTGAATAGATCTTGTTCAGATTTTTGCCAAATACCTTACGGTATCGTTGCCAGCTTTTGTGGTTGAACTAGGACATCAATGGGCAAAGTGAGAAATCATCTTTATTGCGGTGTTTCAAAATTGCCGGTCCGATTGCATTCTCTCGAAGAGAAACAAGCCAATTTTATACCTTAAAATTCATACAGAATATTCTGCTAAAAGAGAGGAAAAATCAAGAGAGTTTTTGAGAAATTACGTGAACTAGTATTCCAAATAAAAAATGAAATATGAGAGACAGTCTGCAACGTCGCAAATTGAGATATGTGGTTTTGCACTTTAGCCATCGATAATCACATTATGTGTAACCGCGCGTCCGTGGATAAAGGATCACAGTTCGAAAAGCTCATGCAGAATTTAATTATTGATAGCAGAGTGTGGAGGAGTGTTCTGTAGGAATTTTGAACCCAAAAAGTTCCACAAATGTCGAACGAGACCGGAGTTAGGTATGGCGGTTTAAAGTTTAGCATAATTTCGAGAAAAACCCATGAATATAAATACCGGATATTGAAATCTCACGATGTTGCTTATATTTGTAGAACGAAATTTTAATAGATCTTTCAATGATTTTCTGAACGATAAAACCCCAGTTGTATACCGACATCTAGTTTGGCTTCTTGTTGAAATTAGCTTTTTGTACCTCCTTCGGGCTGATTGTTGGAATCGGTAGATAAAGCTATAGACAAAGAATGCAAAAGGGATATGAAGGAATCCTATTGGTGGAAGCGGGTGACTGCAATGGACAAAGGAGATAGGTAATAGGCTAACTAACTGCAGCCCACGGGAAATCCTATAGTTTTTCCATCATTTTCTCCCTTAGTCTATAGGAACCACCAATTTCAACCAATAACATCGCTCCATACTCTCTATGTCTTCTTAAAATATCGCTTTGTCTACAAATTTCAACAATGAGCCCGCTGTATTTGAAATTCTGGCACTTGTCAGATTCTACCCAAAAGGTTACGGTTTTGTGAGGACGTCAGGGTTGAAAACCGCTCAACAAATTGCTACTTCACTCAAAGCTCCGCGGGGTGCATGGAAGACGAATTCGGTTTATGAATCAATTAACGATCAGGAGTAGAGTTGCTCAATTTCACACCTGCGCTTGGAGCCCATCCCTCAAGAGCTACTACTCGGATCAGTGGCGACGAATCCATTGATCCGCCATTTAGACCCATAAAAAAGGATCGATTATCAGGGATTCACGACCAACACCTCAATAATCGATTCTTTACCATAGCTTCAAATGGGAAAAAGTCGCAAACCCGTTGAGTCACGGCTGGCCGCTGAATCGGATTAAGGATATAGTTCGAGCCAGATCGTCGCTTCGCTAGCGTAAGAACGCACCTCGATTTCCGCATGAGCTCTGGAGAGGTTGGATTTACATGTAAAACAGGGCTCACGTGAAGATAGAGGTACGCCCTGACGTGAGGGGGCCGCCGACGAGATGTGGCAGGAGCGTCAACCGCAATCTGAGCCTCGTAATTCAGGTCGTAAGTTCCTCTGCGAAATTAAGCTTCCGGTGTTCGGCCGTTTCCCGATGAGATCTGAGTGGAAAGACTTTGTAGCACGGCCGTTTGATGAAAAAACAGCTCAACATGATTTTGTTTCCAACCTCTGTCCGTTTAAAAACGGTGCTCTCTCTCTTTTTAAATTTTCCATGTATGATGAATGGCATGTGAGAGGACACATCCTTTCGATGAACACAAAATGAACTGGATTTTTTATTCAGCATTCTCATACATGTCCCTTTACCGTTTCACGTAAAACACAATTCGCGAAACGACAATGGACCACTAGACAAGGTACGAATTTAAGCGACCTGATACATGTTTCTTAACCAGAATTTTACGTAGAAAACGATTCACACAACGAAAATTACAGAAACCAACTCCTAACGAAGATATTAACGTTTTTATTTCACATTGGTTACGAGGAATTTGAACTGCCCGCTCACAAGAGACTCAAAGCTCTACGTGAGTCAAATCGTGCACTACGACGGTTTCAGCAGGCTTCTCAATTGAGCAATATTCATTTCCCACCATGTGTTGTTCAAACTATAAGCAATTTGCTATAACTGAGCCAAAGCTTCAAGATCGATGTTGCCAGATTTTTATGTCGCAAAGACTGTCATGATAACGTTTAGCGCACGATGTGAATCACGTAGAGTATTGAGTTTTCATGAGCGGGTGGTTTGAATTCACGCATTAAGAATCAATAAATATCTTCGTAAGGAGTTAATTTCGGTAATTTTCGTTGTGTGCATCGTGTTTTACGTAAAATTTTGGTTAAGAAACATGTATCAGAATGCTGAAATTCGTACCTTATCTAGTGGTCCATTACTGAAATTAGCCCCTAGCCAAGATAAATCAATAAGTTTTTTGATGCATACATTCAAACTTCCCGCTCATGGAAAGAACAATAATCTACTTGAGTCATATCGCACACTAAACGTTACCGTGACAGTTAATAAATGGACGTATTTATTCTAAAAGGAACTATGTTCCACGCAAGCCCTATGCTCATAGTTCCTTTTAGCATAAGTAGGTCCAAATGGGGCAACGTCGATCTTGGCGTTACGGCTTAGCTACAGGAAATTGTTCTTACTTTGAACAACACAGGGTGGGAAAGAAACATAGCTCGATTGAGATCACAGCCAAAGCCGTTGTAGTGCGCGATTCGATTTAAGTGGACTATTTTCCTCTTATGACCGGACATTTCAAATATCCCCTAACCAGTGTAAAATAAAAACCTTGAATATCTCAGTGGAGCGCATTTCTGTTAAAAGGTACTGAGACGGGTGAAAATATGGGGTGTGCTCTAGAAAGCTGCATAAGAGGCAATGTAAAAGTGAACGTGATCCCTTTTGTGGAAATGGAAAAGTGGGATTTGACATTAAATCAAACGGAACCAAGAGCCAAAAATGCGGCTCTCATGAGCCATGGGCTTATGACCAGAGCGTTGTGGTCAGGGCTCATGAGTTACGCGACCACGGCGGCGGCTTTGTCGTCGCTGACGTCACTGGAGCTTAATTACTTCGATTTGTTCGCCACGACCCTCGACTAACGAGCACACCCCTTCTTTCCCACCTGTCTCTGGTTCCGTGTGGCAGACATACGTCCAGTCAGGAGTTACTTCGTTCATTTTCGTCGTGGGAATCGTGTTTTAAGTAAAAGTCTGGTTGAGGGACTGGCATGGGAATGCTTGAATTCGTACCTTGTTCACTGTTCTATTTTGGAAAAACGGCAACGCTGGGTGCTAAGTCATTTTTCCTAAAAATTTTTTTCCTACATCAGGTTTTCCTATTACTTTTTTCCTACTTGTTTTTTGTCCTATTACAGTAAGTCCTACGAGTGAGATGTCCCACTGGCTTTTTTCTTAAGGGTGTTTGTCCTAATAATCCAATAATAATTGAAACGTAAACATGAGTAGAGTAGAGGGAAATTTTTCAGAAAGAGTAAAGTTTTCTCAGCGAGCCGAATATAAGTGCGTGAACAGGAGACATTACAAGCGCTGAGCCTTCTATACCCTCAATATATGGAGGAGGATGAAGCTCCACTACTTACGGGCATGCGGCCACAACTTTAACTTGTGAGGTACCTATGTTGTTTTTTTACTTTCTCGATCCCCTGGTTTTAAAATTGAATTTAGGACAAATGCCCCCAGGAAAAAAACCAGTAGGACATCTTACTCGTGGGAGTAACTGTGATGGAACAAAAAACGAGTAGGAAAAAAGTATTAGGAAAAATTGCAGTAGGAAAAAATGTTTTAGGAAAAATGACTTGCCACCCAACGCTCGATGCGCGAGGCTGAGGCTGGAATTGAGGTTCGACAATAATCTCAACTAGGAAACTTCGCCTATGATGAACTTCAAGCACACACTCTCGTCAACGCGACCCAAAAACGACAATACTCATCAAAACCACCCTGCTTCCTTCATTGCCCCCCCCCCTCCTGCCTCTTGACTCCCTCGGGGTCCCACAGTGCATCGGCAGATCCAGATTACCCCGAATTGATGAATATGCAAACGACCCTCTCCTTGAGGATAGTCTTATCCGAGCATCAGTCTTATCGTTCCGACTCTGTTCCAGCGAAGCACCCGTGTTTAATCAATCCCTCAAGTCGCCTGCGTTTAAAAAACTCTCGCGACTTTAATATGCATACTTTTTTTTATGGAGGAGGATAATTTTTGGCCAAAGAAAAAACTCCGCCTGTGCCGTCTCCTCGACGGTACTGCCGGTCCCAAGCCCGGGCTAAGGAGGAGGGTTCGGAGGTAAGGCTAGCAACCTGCCTCCGGTAAAAAGACCCGTTTTTGCTCATAGGAGAAATAAAAAGCCTCGGTATCAGAATAGAAAGGACTTTCGACCCAAAGATTTAAGGATAACGGACAAATGGACAAAAGCGGCTCAAAAATTGAGAATTGCGTCTTGGAATGTGACATCATTAACAAATAAGGAGCAAGAAGTTATTATTGAATTGGATGGAAAGAAGATCGACATCTGTGCGCTGAGTGAGACCAAGAGGAAAGGAGCTGGAAGTGTAATGAGGGGCAACTACCTGCTCATATATAAAGGCGTCGACAAGAGTGAAAGAGCACACGCCGGCGTTGGAATGTTGGTTCATAAGAACCTCATTGATAATATCATTGATATCGATTATATAAGCGAAAGGATCCTAAAAGTTATCATCTACTTAGGCCGAGAAAAATTAAATCTGATATCAATTTACGCGCCAGATACGAGTAGAGGGAAGCCAGAGCGAGATACGTTTTATGAGTCTTTACAAAAAGTCATCGACACAATACCAGCTCGGGAAAAGTTAGTCATGATGGGTGACTGGAATGCTCGTGTTGGGAATAATGTTGTACCTGGGATCAAAAATAGATTCAATGAGCCCACCTTGAATGACAGCGGTGAGGAACTCATTGAGTTTTGCGCCATAAATGAATTGAGGATTAATAACACGTTTTTTGATCACCCGTTACAACAGAAAATTACCTGGACCAATCGGAGAGGCCAAGCATCGATGATTGATTTCATCATCAGTAATCGGCATGTACATCCACAGCAGATCCTAGATGTTCGCACCTTGTCATCCGCAGATGCTGGTACTCAGCACGGCTTAGTGTTATGCGAACTAAGAATCGATTTCAGTCAGCGAAAACAGCAACCGGTGATTTTCGAAAAA